CTTTCCCTGATTTCGTTAAATTCTTTTACTTATATATTTTTATAAACTTACATTTTTGGCAAATTATTGGACAGTGTAACTATGATGATTTTTTTTTATCTTTGTGTTTGTTATTTATTTATTTATTTGTTTGTTTATTAGAGAGTAAAGAGAAGTTTCAGTAATTGACTACTTACCCCAGATCCACAAAATCGACCAAGTCTCATAGCTGTCGTATCATGGCCATCAAAGAGTTCAACATAGTCATAACCACAGTCTGCCTCTTCTTCTACTTCAAAAGTCTGAAAAGTTAACTCTACTCGATAGCCACGTTCTGATACCAGCAGCCACTCACAATCCACTTGAACTGGATAATTATTATCACCAAACTGTGCATGAGAGTACAGATCTCTAGGCTTGGTTTCAGCTTTCAGTCGACCACCACACTCTGTAGGAACAAAAAAAAAAAAAAGGTTAATAAAGGACAAGCACAAGTAAACATTTCAGCACAATACTTTTCTTTGAGAAACTCACTGAGTAAGGTACTACTCAATATGAATAATTGTGGCTTATAATTTTATGATTTTTAAATAGTATTATGGGACACAAAAATATTGCCAATACAAGAGTCTCAAAATGCTCCAGAATGCATACTTTTATTTTCTGTAAATATTTTCTATAATTTATTTCCTGTTAACAGTTTTAACCAAAAAAGGGAAAGGACAGCAAACTTGTGAGGAATAATATAGTCAAAATGCTGCGATATCATGACATCATAAGACACAGAATGTCTTGCCTGTCAGTAATGGGATTTATTCAGCAAACAATGGGAAATACCTCATTGATAATAACAGTTTGTAGGAATCCATTTTGGGCCCCATACTTCAAGAAAGATGTGGATAGACTGGAAAGAGTTCAGCACAGATGAACAAAAGTTAGGGCCTGGGAGGCAAGACTTATGAGGAAAGGTTGAAAGAACAAGGACTAAAGTCTGAAGAAGAGAAGACTGAGGGGGATTTGATAACAATCTTCATATACCTGAAGGGCAATTATAAAGAGGAAGGAGATGGGCTATTCCTCTGTAGCTGTAGGGGACAGGACTATGAGCAATGGCCTCAAGCTTCAGTAGATCAGAAAGAACTTTATGTCTAATGAAGTTGGTCAAGCATTGGAATAGGCTACCTACAGAAATTGTGGAATCTCCATCTTTGGAAATTTTAAGAGCAAATTGGACAGTCAGCAATGATCCTGCCTTGAGCAGGAAGCTAGACTAAATGACCTTGTAACATCCCTTCCAGGCCTACTTTCCTACAATCCTCTGAGGACAGCTAGATCAGCTTTATCCTTTATTTCATTCCACTTCGTATTCCATTATTCTCACTATAAATCTCTATATGGGTTAACACAACTTTATTAAGAGGCATTCATTCATATTAGAGACTCAGTAACAAATTTGGTTTAAAAATTGGTTTAAATTGTATATATATATTTTAATATTTTCCAAAACTCTATTTCAGAAATTTTGAATTTCAAATCAAGGAAATGAACATTAAAACCAATCTATTGGACTATAACCAGGTTGCTTAACAGAAGCAGTAACTCCTGAAGATTTAAAACCCCCCAAAAGTCCAATTCACTACTCCCATTTCAAATATTTTAGCTACTATTGGTGATAATTTCCATTATGTTTAGCTTTCTATAAGAACTTAAAACTTCTACTGCATAAATGCTCTACATTAGTCACTTAAAGACATTATTCAAGGCCAGCTGACAACAGATGGAAAACTGTATTTAGAACCATGTTTAAGGGGTGTGGGTGGGTGCTTTTCTTCTTCTTTACAACTAAGGAAACCCCAGTGAAAACATCAGAGTTTATTTTAGAAGGTTGTTCTCTTCTTTGTTCCTCACCAAGAAATAGTCCTCTGCCTATGACACTCTTTTCCACAGCAAGCGCAGATGGAACTAGCATCTGATATCTGTACACTCATAAGTTTATGTTAGGAATCGGTGAGGCTGTGTTATGTTTTTATACTGAGCTAAGCCAAATCCTACAATACAAACACCTCTGAGCTATGTACAAGAGAGGATCTGTATCTGAGCTCTGTGGATGAGGCCCAACTCTAAAACTGGCCAATTGTGATGTCATATGCTCAGCAGTCTGAATTCAGGTTAGAATTAATAACAGGAACTGCTGAATGCTTAAAATGGTGCCATGCAGGATTCATACATGTAATCCTAATAATATAGAAATGAGAAGGATCAAAGCAGTGGTATAACTAGGGAAGGTGACAGAGCAATTGCCTTCTGTGCAGACTTGGAAGATAGTGGGGGTGAAAAAAAAACCCAGCAGCTGCTAGCAGATGTGCAATTGTGCTGGTGGTATGGTAGCAAGCAGAAATGCTGCCCCCATACCCCAGGCATCTAGCCATATCACTATGCTGTTTCATTTCTAATTGGCTGCATGGCTTGGAGGCTTGATTTCTAATTTTGGATAAGATTTTAAAATCTTCTTAAAAACACGCATGGCTGACAAACCTGATATTCCCCCATAGCCACTCATTAGGCTCAATATGTTTGCATCGCTTTGTGCATTTTTTCACTTTACAAATGTGTGCAATCAACACCGTAACATATGAAATCCATCATATAAATTTATTTTGTTGCTGTTAGTCTGATATACTGGCTTCTTCAGTTTTTGTGAATTCAGTTATATTTTCCTCTGACTGAAACATTGCCAGTTTTAAAGTCACATTCAGGACATAACGCAGCTGTAAAAAGGAATACTTCTATGAACTGCATGCCTTGTTTTCTCCATACACACTGTTATGTTTATGAGCTTAAAAGAGTGGTCCATCCATATTAACAGCTGCAGAAATTTTAAAGTTCACATATCAGGAAGATATTCTCACATGTGAAAAAGTGAACTGAGAGCTGCTAAGCTATCTTGAGGAGTAGGCAGGGCTTTTTTATTGGCAGTCATCCCAGTCTCAGTCAAGAGACTATATAGACACAATCTAAGTTTTTGTGAAAGTCAATGGAAATTAAGGTCCTAAGAGTTCATAGCTATGACTATAGGGCAAACTTACTACTGCCCCCAAACTAATTAACCTGTCCAAAGCATGGTGGGGATGTAATTCCAATTATGAAACAGCCTGCCCAGAACAGCACAGCCACTTTACAGACAGCCCCAGTTAAACACAGTAAAAGTTTATCCTGAGACATGGCCAATATCACTTCTTAGGCTCTGTTAGAGGCTAAAAAGCTCAAGGGGAGCTAAAGGGAGAGAAATATTTTGCTAAAAGGGGAGAAAATATCTTAGCTCCTTCAAGGGCTAACTCTTAACCTTCCATTTCTCATGGGCTCTCTATCTAGTAATGGTCTTCTTTAACTGCCCTGCTGGACACAGATTACGGGTTAAGCCTATTGGCTTGAATACACCCTAGAATAGGGTGCCAGCCCTTCTCCTGACAGAAAGCAGTTCTGTACCCTGAGCAAAATCTCCCCAACTCTGGAGTAGAATGGGACCGGGTTTCTGAGCGTTGCTTTCAACACTGTGCTACTTGCAACGTTCCCAGATTGAACTGAGCACTATGATTCTTTTTATGTTCCTCTCAGTAGCCCAGGAACCTGCTAAGGTGGTTAGGTTCTAAAATTCAAGTAGTCACAATATTACAAGTGTCTAGTGCTGTTAATGATTCAATGCAAGGTACAGCATTGATAAGCCAGCATTGGATGTGGTTCGGATAAAGGGACCTCCTAAAGAAAGTGGCGAATGGGCTTGGGCCCCAGAATATAAGGAGAAGATATCATTTAATCTCCTACTACTCCATTTTATCTGACAGAAGGTCAGTGGGATGCCTGCAACAGAATTAAGACCAAATTAAGAGTGGAGAGATTGGGAGATTGATAGCAATTTTCTCCTACATGGCAGGAATTATGGAGACAGGAAAATGTGTATTGTGTGAGTTATTGCTGGATAGTTTCCAGGTATGTTCTTTAATGAAGCTGCAGGCTCAATAAACCACACTCCTAGTGTTTCTCTGCAGTCCCTGTAGGAGTGAGGCTTTTTACTTGGCCCATCTGAAAACTTTATTCGAGGGCTCATCCATATTTGGGTCAAAACTCTGTTAGTAAAATTGGTTTGAAATATGTTTCAAAATGTATCCATTTTAATGCAATTAAAGCCATCTGTCCTGCCATATGAAATAATTAAAATAATTTAATAATAGCATTTACTATTATGTTAAATGTATATTTTACTTTCTGGGGGTTATGAGCATTTGTTATATGGCAAAAATTTGTAGGCATTATTCTCCTAATTATGGCACACTAAAAAGAAATAAATAAAACATTATGCTTCATACAGAGAAATACATAATTTAAGCCATTTTAGACTGACCCAAGGTTAAATTTTACTATAGTTTTATCTCTGTAATCTAAATGCATTTAATTTAAATTAGGATTTCTGAGTTGGGATTCAAAGCCAAAAAGTGACACACTGCGAAATCATCTGAACCAGAACCTGAGAGAGAGAGAGAGAGAGAGACTGAGAAAGAAAGAGAAAGAGAAAAGGCAGACCATCAATGGAATAAAATTGTGATCATGATTTAACAGACAAGATGACCTCACTGTTGAATGCTTAAAAATAATATTTAAACAATTTTAAATGTAGGGGATTATGATGTGGACTATAAACATTAAATACATTAATTTTAGGTGAAAGACTTTTTTTTATGTTAGCTGCAGACGGATTTAAAGACTCACTAAATAAATTAAAAATTGTAATCCTTTGGAATAGTTTAAGAACTGGAAGATACTTTGCCAGAGAAACACTATTCACTCTTTACGTTAACTTCCAAAGTTTGACAAACAAAATTATTACAAGTAAAAATAAAATCCTTACTTTTTTGGAAACATGGTGTTAGCTCATATAGCTCAGAAAATCTGGAGGGAATATAATGCACAGTAATGGAATTTTAGACATAGCCTCTGGGGTTACAGCTCATCCTTAAATTGAATGCATGAAGCTAAATGATTTTGATGGTGCCAGGATGGAGGGGAATGGATACGTCAACTTTTCTCCGTGTCCTTGAATAGCTGTGCAGGGTTAGATACAATCTAGTTTTTACTGCCACCTTGTACCCCTAAACTGAGTAATTATCATTGTTTATTTTTATTTGTGGAAATATGTTTTTGAAAACTGCCGAACATCTTCATCAGTGTAGTACAGATAAAACATTTATTCAGTGACTATGCTTGTAGCTAGATTCCAATTTCCTTATTCTGTACAGTATCTTTAACACCAAACACTTCATAACAAGACTGACAAATAGCTTTACATTTTCTTTAAAAAATGTCCTGGAAAAATATGGACTGAATTATACGATCACAAGAATGGCCTTCTGTTTATCTTGCATTCGGAAAAAAAAAAGCAAATTTTATTTTTCGATGTTTCTAGAAAAATAACGCACTTACACTAAGGAAATTTTTTAAGCCAAAGTATAGACCCATATAAATAGACATTTATAAGGGAAATTCCAGCAAACTGTTGGCTGTAACAATGAAAATGGTAATACTTAGGAGTACTCTGGGCACAGATTTTAACTTCTTCCATATAATATCTACTACAGTTACATAAGTGGAAGGCTGACAATGATAAAGTCAGAAATGTTCTAACAGCTATTTTTATCATGAATTTTGGTTTTTAATTGCTTAGTTATTTTAATGAGTACCTTTTATATCTAATTTTGTGAAAAGCATAAAGGTATCAGATCATTGTGGTGAAGAAATCTGGAGCATAATACAGGTGTTTGCAAACCAGGCCCTTTAACAGGATGGAAATGCAGACTAAATGACAGGGTGAAGAAACCTTTCATTTCCTAGGCTCAGATCACAAAGGGTGAAAAATAGGCTAGGTTCTGATCTGTGAAGTCTCTGCCAAAAGAAAATTAATCTAGCAAAGTATTAAAGATTATGTACCAAAAACTAAATCAGAAAGATCTAGTTTGAATTTAAATATTTATGTACACTGAATAGCTAGTTGTAGACATATTTACTTGGAGTACTTTAGACTATGTGAACCCAGACCAAAAAAAAAATTACACATGCTGTAGCTCAAGATTAGGCACTTTTGTGTGTAAAACTTTACTATGGTAGAGATGATACTTACAGTGCCCCACACTGATATGCAAGTTACAAAATAATGCATAAGTGAGAATATGCTGTACAAAGTGCGGCCAGATATTATTACTATATTTAAAACTTAAGATACTATTTTGTTCTACTGTCTAAAGTTGCTGAATGGCTCCACTTCTTTTTACACATACCATGCCTTGGAAATTGAAGTTATTAAAGTTGCCACTGGGGGTCACTATAAGTCAAGCACATTCAAGATTCATGTTTCTAAAATAAGGCACATCTTAAAGAACCTCTTAATAAACTTTCAAAACATATTTTGAATGATAAATTATATAAACAAGGAAAGTAACTGCTACATCTGAAGATGATTTTTTTTCCCCCCAGAAAGTTTATGGATTTTAGCAAGGCTCTCAATATCATTTTGTTTGTGTTTACCTTCGCTTATCATCAGGGATCCTGGTTTTCACCGATTTTAAAAAGCTCCAATTTTCAGTTAAAAAAGTAACCCCAAATCCACATTTTTCCATGATTAAAATGAAATCTCTCTGTCTCTGTCTCTCTCTCTCTCTCTATATATATATATGAGACAGAGAGAGATCTCTGTATATCTAGATATCTATATATCAATATCTAGATATATCTAGAGAGAGAGAGAGAGAGAGAGAGAGAGAGATGTTTCATTTTAATCACGGAAAAGTGTGGATTTGGGGTTACTTTTTTTTTTAACTGAAAATTGGAGATTTTTTTAAAATCAGTGAAAACCAGGATCCCTGCTATCATTCCTTTCTGGCAACAGAGGAATAGTATTAGTTGTTTAGACTATACCCCATATCCTATTTAAAAGACAGAAGAGAAAAAACAAATAAGATTGTGATATATTAAATCTTTAAGAATCTCCAGTACAAATGAAATTAGAGGCTATTGAATCTTTTCTAAACATAGCCACTGAGGCATCACCTCTATGCTACTAAGGGTCTTCTTGCATATTACACTGTGAGCTGCACAAATGTTGATCAGTGTTAGAGGTAGCTCTAGTTTTGAGCAGTCACACTTTAGGACAGCAGGGGCCAGGAGGACTGAAAAGTAAGAATCCCCCCCCTCCTTTCTGGGCTTCTGTCCCAGGGTATCTCCAGTTCCCCCACCACCACTCCTGGGGCTCTCCCTGCTCCTTGGGGTTTCCCCCTCCCCTCCATCACTCTGCTTACTTGTGGCTGTCCACACTGTCTGTGCTGAGGGAAGCAAGCAAGGGAAGGTTCGCTGGCTCACCTGCCTGGCTGCCCCCATTGCTCTTCTCTAGGCTGAGCCCAATCCAGAGAGCAGCAGTAGGGGTGGCAGTGGCCAGGCAGGCAAGTTAACCTTTTCCTGCCTGCTCCCCTCGACAGGGGGGATAGCCACAAGTAAAGGGGGTGCAGGTGGAGGGGTGTGGGGTTTCTTCTTCGTGTCTCCAATCCAACCTTTCTTTATGGTCTGCTCCCAATATTCTGCACAGGCCACTGCTTCTGGTGTTGGTGTTGCCAGATCTTGTGGGGTGCAG